GTGTGTGTGTGTGTGTGTGTGTGTGTGTGTGTGTGTGTGTGTGTGTGTCAGATGTAGGTCTTATGCAGTTCAGCAATTGGGCATTGCCCCAATCAATCTTGGAAATGTCGGCCATAATGCAAGCTGGCTGTGAGGGCTCATAATTAAGCAGCTGATTAGAATTTGCACAACACAGGTCATTTCTAATGAAGGAATAATGAAGGTCCTACACGACAAGTGCATCCGTCACTGAATTCAACGCTTATTTTGCCCTCTATCAACACCTCCCTCGTATATTTATWTTTTTTTTCTTTTTGTTGTTTTTGGTTTCGCACCATTTGCTGGCAGAACCCAGGCGTTGACTTTGGAGATGTGTCGGATCGTTTGGCCTTGAGGAAAAGGATGCAGTGTCGGAGTTTTCGCTGGTACCTGGAGCACGTTTACCCAGAGATGCGGATCTACAACAACACCATCACATACGGCGAGGTGAGAAAAGCAGCTGGTAAACAAAATGCTTGGTAATAAATGGTGTGCTGATTTACTAATAATATCATTTATAACCCTCTAACAGATAAAATGAATCTGTGTTAAAGACATTGCAGATGCAAAGTCAGCTAATTTAATTCAGTTAACAATGGAAATGAGTTTTATGAGCAGAAGTAGCACATTGTAAAATCTTTGTGTTACTCTCATTTAAAATATAATMTTCAAGAAAAAATATCTTTGCTGGTTTTTTGCTTTTGTTTGTCTAAAGCCAATTTAAAAAAACTAAAAGCTGATATGTGCAGGTAAACAGCTAGGTATGGTCACTGATCCTCTCTTCAAACACCTTTGCACATGAAAAAACATAGAACTCCGCTGCAGGCAGTCTCAGGTAAAATCATATTGTTGCTATAGCAATGCAACATCCCCACATAAAATTAGATGCAATTTCCTTTTAATGAGTTTTAATTAAACACTTATTAGTTKTCTATTCCAACTTGATTGCCTTGGGCTTGGTCGTACACTCAGCACAGTGGGGGGAACCAAACAGGCTTACGGCGCGATGAAGGACTGAGAACACTCCTGAGTCAGACACTATTTGGAGACTTGCTGAAATGCTGCATTTTTTCCCTCATATCAATTTCAAAAATGGAAAATCAGTATGCCCTGGATGCCAGCAGGCATCAGAATTACCCTTTATATTCATCAGAGCTTTCTGAATTTCCTCCTCCTTTGTTTCCTCTGCCGTCTGGTATCCGGCTAATGGATTCCTCAGAGTGGCATCCACTCAAGTGGCACTATTTCAGATCTGTCGACAAGCTGGGAAGCAGTTACCTCGTGTTGCCACACAGCTGCTGCAGCAGAAGTGAGTCKCATCTGTCACTGAGCATCAGCACTGCTCTCCACTCAGCCATGCTGTCCAGATCGGCCAAGTGGAACCTTCCCTGACAACAGCGCATGATAGATATGTCACAACCAGGAAATGAAGCCATACACATTCAAATCACAGAGATCTGCAGCCCATGCTAAACGCACACCGTCAGTCTGGCCCAGGGAGGAAGGAGAGAYGGAACTGAGGCTGGTCACTGCATGGTGATATCTTATCATGGCCCAGACGTCACTTTGAGTTAAAACTCTGGGAAGACTTGAAGAAAAAGTAAAATGCGGAAAAAGGAAATGTTGCCAGATTTGACAGGGTAGAGACATGTTTTTGAGCCTTCAGCAGCTCAGTAATAAGCACAGGGGACTAACTTACCTGAACTACTTTGGATTTTATTTGTTTATTTTTAGCAAAATTTGAACACTATAAGGACTAAAATTTGTGACATTTTAATCTGACATGTTTTTTTCTTTTTAAAGAGGATTCATTTTAATCTTCAAAAAGTTCATTTTACTTTGGGTTTCTCGTGACAACTGATATAATTCATTTACCCAGAATGCGTTTATTGTACCACTTCATGGYAATTCATCCCACAGACCAGAAACATACATGGTAGGTTAGCTGATGGCTCTGAACGACCAAGAGCATTAATGTTTTGTTTAATTCTGTGGACCTGTGATGGATTCTCAACCTGTCCAAGGTGAACCCCAGCTTTCACCCAGTGAAGCTGGAGATAGACCAGCTCTCCATGACTGCACAGAAATGTYGGCAAACAAAATGAATGGATTTACAGCAACCTTCCAGTGCAAATCCTCTTCTGTTTGCTAAAATGTTGGTCACATTTAATCCTGTTTTGCTTGGTCTTGCTTTCAATAAAACTAAAAGTATAAATTGCATTACATGCTGTATTTTGGTCATTAATAAGACATCGAATACATTTTAAATACAAGCTATTCTGGTTAGATAAGAAATAAAGATGCTGTAGATACAATTAGAAGATGTGACTTTTCTTTAAATAAATCTGACACTTAAAAATAACCAACAAGAGTGAGCTGATGGCAGTATGTGAGATAAAGAAAGTTCAAAATGCTACATCAGAGTCACTGAGTCACCATGTGAGCACACTCCCTCACAGGTGTTTTGATGATTAGCCCGTTTGACCTATAAGGGCGCATTGTCTCCACCTGGCATCCCAGGTGTGCTCCCCTCCACTTTTAGCTTMCTAATGATGTCTGGAGTGCCAGACTTTGTCCTACATCTTCTGCCAGAACCACTTCCACCCAGCAAACATTGTGGAATGTTTATTTATTTATTAATATTTTTTTGTTTTGTTTTTTGTTTTAGGATTTATGTTTTTGTGCTTCTTCAGAGGCAAGCTGACTTTATTTTCCCCCTCTGCTGACATGAACATTTAATTCTGCTGGGTTTTAAACAGTTTGTTGTGTTGATTAAGCTGCTAACTCTRCTGTAGTGTAGCAGATAGCTTAAAATGGGTTTGGCATCTTTGTAGAAGAACTGCAGAAACATTCAGATTGGTATGAGTAAAAACAGTTGTCTCAAAGACGATGCCCACGAACTAAAATGAGGAAGTAGGTTGGCCATTTTGAGCAAGTGTTTTCACAAACTCAGATGTTTAAACAAGTGTTAATAAAAAAAAATAATGTAGTTACAGCATTATTCATATCGAAATAACTTGTGTGTTGTATTTTTAGGTGAGGAATAGTAAAGCTAGTGGATACTGCCTCGATCAAGGATCTGAGGACGATGACAAAGCCATCCTCTACCCCTGCCATGGAATGTCATCTCAGGTCAGACTTTACTTTCTCTATCTGCTGTTTGTGCATTCACTGTTCACTTCTGTTAAAGTGCAAAKAATTCTTCCAAAATATGACAAATCAAGTGTAAATACAAATATATTTATTAGTAATTGACTAAAACTTTGCACATCACTATACAGATTAAATATTTTGCATTTCATCACTAGAAAACTCCCCTCAGTGTTATGATTCTGTCCCTGTCTGCCCAGATCATGCCTCAGTTTAGTTTTATCTTATTTCATGTTCCAGWTTCTCCTCATAGTCTTGTTCCCAGCCTTACAGCTCACATCCAGCTCCTGCTCATTGCTCTCGCCCCTCCCTTCATAGAAACCCTAATCAAGCTCATTTCACTCACCTGTTTCCTGCAGTATATAATCCAGTCTCACTCTCCAGTTCACTGCCAGAGTTGGTTGCAGACAAGGAGAGGGAGTGACCGCAGTTCCTCTTCCGGAGAGGCTGCCGAGGAGATAAGGGGACGGAACTTATATCCCAAATCCTCTCAGGTGCTTCATATGTCAAAGAATGGGACATGTTGCAAAAGAATGC